TACACCGCGCCCAGCGTTCCTCCACGGCCCATTCCCCAGCCTCCCTGCGTGTTGGTATGGGTTTTTTCACCCTGCTGTTGCTGCGGGCGCGCGTGCAAGGCAACGCACGCAGACAGGAATGTATCGCGAGGGCACAGCGGTGGCTTGAATTTTCTCGGCGATTTTGGTGCTCTGTGTGGCGGCGGTTGTTCCTTTTTTGAATGCGAAGGGTGAATAGTGTAGAGGGGGGGGGAGGGGGTAGCGAACCCCGACCCTTTTCTTTTGCCGCGGGGGCGTGGCGCTGCGTTTGTTTTTCCCCACCGCCAGGGTTTCGCAAGGACTCACCCTAACAAGAAAGGATCGTAGCGAATTGCGGACGTTTTCCGCAGCTTTTCCCCGCTCTTCTTCGGTGCGTCCGGGGACCCCCGCCCCCACCAAGCCAAAAAAAAAAAAAAATGCGCCTTGAGGCGTGTTTTGTTCCTTGTTATTATTATTGGTTTCCGGGACTCCGGAAACCATCTTTTTTTTTTTGCGAAAAACTTTAGCACCGGTTGGTTTCGATCCAACGTCCTATGGGTTATGAGCCCATCGCGCTTCCACTGCGCCACGGTGCTTACGGCGGCCACCCCAAAGTGATAGAATTGGATAATTTTTGTGGATGGGCAACGTACCAACGTATCCCTACTTAGCAATATCTCCGGCCCAGTGGCGGCCGCTTGGTCTAGTGGTATGATTCCTGTTTTGGGTACAGGAGGTCACGGGTTCAATTCCCGTAGCGGCCCACCCTTTTCACACACATATATAACTATGTCGAGGTGTAAAATTGAAGTGTTCAACGAAAATAAAAAAGTGGGGACGTATCAGATTCGATCCTACGACTTTATTAACTGCCCTTCCCCCTAGAAGGGGGAAAAACCAGGGCCAGGGACAACTCAGCTACAGTGGCGGGTGCGGCCCGCTGATTTATTCAAAACATATTTATTTTGGCAAAAAACATACCTACACCTTCCCCTTCAATACGGCAAAACCAGTGACGGCGGCAGTGTGGCATCGTCGTTTCGACTTTTACTAAGCGACGCAGCCCAGTAACACTAATAAATTTTGGGAACCCCCCCACGACCCGAGGGGGAGAAGAATATGGGGTCAGCTTTTTGGATCTTTTCTCCCATTGGGGAGAGGGAAAGCTGTGGAACCGCGATTGGCCCCTCCCCCTCCCGCCCTCCCGCAACCGCGCGGATTTAGCTGGGCCCACGGGGAAAAGCAGGCGCCGGGCGTGTTATCGATGGTAGCGGAGGTGCCTCCCACAACCCCGCCCACCAAGCTTGCTACCCTTAACAAATGCGAATCTTCCGAAGCTCCTATAAGCAGAGGCAGGGCGGAGAAAAAGAACACTTCCGCCTGGCGTTTCTACGAGGCAGACGCGCCCACACGGCGCCGCGCAGCCACTCGGCTTGGCAAAAAATAATAATAATAATAATAAAACGAAGATTTTATTTAAGCGCCGCGGCTGGAGGCCAGAAGCTTCGCGCGCTCCTTCTTTAGCCGCTTTTGCTGCTGCTCAACGCCCCTCTGTTTTGAACGCTGCGCCACCTCGTCCGGTTTGATGCACTTTTTCACAGACTGCGCCCGGCTTTGGGCCTGAAATTTCTGGACTCTTCTCGGCGCCGCCGCCGCCGCCGTCTCGCGAATCTCTTCGATCGGTTTCAAACGCGCCTCCAGCTTCCCCACCAACCCGGGCGGCGCCGCGGCGGCCTTGCGAGCCACGCGCCGCCGCGGTACCAGGCGAAGCGTGTCGGCGCGCCCGTCCCAAATCTCCGTGAGTATTTCGACGTGGTCTTTGTCGCTGATGTCCGGAACGGCGATGCCCTTGGAGGATTCAAATTCGGCCGCCTCAGCCGCCTTCAGCGCCTCGATTTTTTTGATGCGCCCCGCGGGCGGGGCCCGCAGTGAGCGGAGTGACGAAAGTTCCGCATCGTTTCGCCCCAAATAAATATGAATTAGCGCCCCCACCTCCTCAGCGGAAAACGCAGAGCGCGACCGGCCAAGGGCGAGGCACTGTTCCCGGAACCAAAAAAAACGCGTGGCCTCCAGCAGCTCGTGGCTGTGTTGTCTTTTTTCTCGCTCGCTAAGCCTTTCTTCTCGGCGCGTCCGGCGCTCAAGTTGCCGCACCCCGCGCGAATTGGGATGCTGCAGCGCCTTCGGCGGCGCACCTTTTTTACCTGCCATGGTGGCCGTTGAGCGCGCCCCCGCTGAAATGCGCGCGCGCCTGCCGTTTCCTTATTTTCACGCTCTGTTTTTGCACCATGGAGCCACACACATAGAGAGAAACAAAAGGAAAAAAAAAATAGGAAGCGTCGAGCAACACGCGGACCGCCCCCACTCTTCCTTCACAGCGAGGGGTTCCTTCCCCACTCCGATCCGCATTAGAGGGTGGGGGGGGGAGGAGGAGGGCAAATTTGTACTATTCCCTCTTTTTTTTTCTTTCTTTCATCTCCGCTCCTTCCCAGCAAGAGCTAAATAAGTTTATTTTGCATTTTTTGTCTTCCTTCAAACACAATCACTCTTCCACTGCGCGCTGTGCTTCGCCGCGGCCTTTGGGGTGGTTTCCACAGTGGCGATTTTTCCACCATGCCAACAAACTCACAAAAATTCAAGCATAGGCATTCCATCTGGCATGTAGCTCAGTTTGATGGAAATACCAATTGAGTTCCATATTCACTTCACCGCGATATGTGTGATACCGTATGAAATAGTAAACACCAAAAAAATGAAGAGGCTTGCCGCAAAAATGTTCATCCTTATTGCGGAAGAACCCGCCTTTGGTGGCGCTAGAAATCTTCGCGTGATATTGGTGGTAGCGAAGAGGCGAAAGGACACAGCAGCAAACATAATAGACATCAAGGCAAAATTGACACAGGGATAACCCTCAGGCACAATCCGAAGCAGCTTCTTTGGGCTTCCATTCAACCCTGTGGTGGCCATCCAAATATGATACTGTGTTATGTACGATTCCAGGGTCACTTTCCCCAGGGCCTCAAACAGTCCAATATGATACATACGCGCAACTTTAAATAGATTTCTCAAAACAATATAAATCGTAATGGGAATAAAAGAGGTGTAAGGATGAATTCTATTGTACTCCAATTTTGGAGTAATGTAGACTGTTTTCACGTACATGGCCCCCACCAACAACGCTAAAAAAGCAATGGAAAACTTCACTAGCCAACTGGTGTATCTCGGCAGTTCGTCCAACCGCTTTAGATAACTGTCAAGGCGTGGGTGATAGTAAGCACAGATCATCCCATAGATCCAAACGTAGTGATCCAGGGACGTGCGAAAAAACCACTCCCACAAGACATGTTGCTCAGGACGATAGGGGTTATTAAAACCAATCAGCCAGGCGAATGGACTCCAAAGCGCATAAAAGAGATCCCTTGACACATCCCACATGAAAAAACACAAAACCAACCACAAGACTAGCTTCACGCACAATCCCTTACCTGTACTGTTCATGCCCTGATATAAGTACAGGCTGACGTATATGAACAACGTAAACAAGGTGTGAAGGGGACATATGTAATAAAGCATATACTGATTTCCCATGGTGAAACAAACGGCGGTTACAAGAAAATTTAGTCTCCATTGCATGCCATAAAACCGTTCCAGAAAAAAATCTTTTTGCACATAATAGTAAGAAAAGTTCCCAAAGCCTGTCATCCATACATACGCCGCAATAAAAAGTCGAATACTATTGTAAATGCTGACATTGTGAAAGTAGTGATACCACAGGAAGAGCACCTGCATCCATCCTTTCCATTCCTCCGTCTGAGAGCGCGACAAGGGGGGTACATGAAACAACTTTACAGGAGACTCTACTTCGCCGTTAATGACAAGTGAAGGAGGTTTGGCCCTTTTAAGCGTCAGCAACGAGGCACCCAAAAACACAATACAGAGAAACCAGAAGAAATCCACGTTGTACGTCTTTTCAAACCTCGGCAACAGTGTGGTCCGATCACACACAAACATGAGCAAAAGATACCCGCTGAGTTCAGCTCCACCTCGGAGTTGTATACGCGACCTGGCATTTATGTATGACTCTGACAACAGATTCATTCGTACAAAAAAGGTATCCACGGTGGCCCATACAATGATGAAGGTGATTAAAATAAACGCCATGACTTGCCCCGAGGAGAGTGGCCCGGTTGGAAAGGTGCTGGGAAAGTAAGGCACCAACGAGGCAAAGACCCATACCAACACTAAGGACACAAGCAAAATCGCCACCAACATGCATTTGGTTTTAAGCGACGTGCAGTTCCATTTACTCACGATGGTGCAAGGCTCTTCATCCGCCGTCTTGAGTCCCTCCTCCTCCATGTTCCTCCTGCAAAGTCAACGTCCGTCGCTGACACAAAATGCCGAGGTGAAGAGCCAAGTTTTGCCTCGTTTCGTTGTATCCAATCTCACCCTACTTTAAAACAGACACACCAATACGCAACTAAATTTAAAAGGCATGTAATGACAATAGGGGTCTCGTTTAGAATTGACGAAGCGGAAGTTGATAAAGTCACCCCTCCCCCCCCCCTGCAACTGCCGCATTCCTCCACATGGATAACATCATTAGTGATAGTCGTAGTGTGGGAATGTAAGGGAAGGACAAAAAGGCAAAGGAACGGCACCAGCGACACCACGCAACGCGGCATCACTTAAAACAAAAAGAAAAATCAATCGATAAAGAATAAAGAAAAACGTTGAGGGGGAAACACAAGAGACGCACGCATTTCTTCAGCCGAATCTGGTAGCACGTTTTTCCCACGAGTTTGAGGAAAATAACGGGATCATGACGCCTTTTCATTTGTAGGCGGGCCGTTGCACGCATGACCAAGCGCATCGATCAACACCAGTGCTGCATCCGACGGATTTTGAGAGAGCATGCTAGTGGAAATGCCTGACCTCAGTTTCAGTGGTTTGTATAGACTGCAGCATATCTACCGCACAAAAAACGCGGCATTTTTGTGCTGCCCCTGCATCGTCACACAGCTCTCTTCACGCTTGTCGTACCACTGGGCGGGGGGGGGGGGGGGGATGGGTGGTATGCAGCGATCCACCACTTGCATTAAACTCCAACAAAAAGAAAAAGGGAGGGTGCCGAAAGGAATAGGCAGAGTTACCCCACATCTCCGGCACCCCTTTACAAAATCAAACGAACAGATCATAGGAATAGGCGTGCCAAGTTATGATCCGGCTGGACCCCGCCTCCAGCTTCACCGCAAGGTAATCTATGGCCTGTGCATGCTTTCTTATGGTATCTCTCCCACCACCGGATCAATGCGGCGCGGGTGGCCCCCAGACGCCCAGCAACGACGATAGAGCAGAAACCCACATACATGGAACAAGCAAATTTCAAAAGCGAGACTACCCCCGCGTCCGGCTTCCAAATCTGAAGCGCCAAAAGACAGAGAATGCCGTCTCAGCAGCAATATATATATATATATATAATCAAAGCATTTCGTTTAATGGTTTTGTGGGCATGTCTGTGTATGTCAGGCGCATATTCACCGGGACGCTGTACTTTGCCTGGACCCCATGAGATATTCGCAGCGTTGAATTGCCTTTCCCCGAACCCGCTGGGACGTCACATGAACCCCAAAAACAGTAGTTATATTTCAACAAAATGCAGGAGGTGAAAGTTTCAAAAATTTTTTTTTCTTTTCCCCTTTTAGTGTGAGAAGGTACAAAAACCGAAGAAATGATGATAATAATAAAATACAATAACAAACAGGCACAAATAATCACAGATGGGCAAGCAACCTGAAAGGCCTTTACCAATGCTCCTGACCTTAGACCAAAACATTTGCTGGACAGAAGCACGTTCTGAATAACGGTTCTTTTCTCCTCTCTGTCCAGGTGCCTTTTTATGCATTTTACTTTTTTTAAAAAAAAGAATACCATAAATAGATCACTCACTTACAGCTTCTTTTTCCCTTCCCGATTTCTTTATGCATCTATCATTCATTCAATTTCTGTTTAGTATTTGATGTAAGCCAATTCCGGAGCTCCATCCTTACATTCAGTGCACACCGCCCCAAGCTCGTCGTTCCACCACACCGGCTTCCGCTCGTTACATACATCACAAGGCTCAAACGCCTCCGTCTTCGGAGCTCGCTGCAGCCGAGGAGCAACATGCCTATCGTAGGCTTCCATGCGTAGGACGTCAATAGTTTCCCCCTCCGGACCAAGATCGATTAACGGCGCCCGCTGCAAAATGCCCCTGACATCGTGAGAATCAACAACCTTGGCGTCAAGTCGCATGATTGCATATACGTCACCTGCGTTTTCCGCGGATTTTACACGAAGAAGATCGCTGCGGAAGTGCTCCACGATCGCAAGACAATATTTAATGAGAAACTTCACGCCACCCTCCATAAAAAGGTCAAGGAACACAAACAGTTCCTTGAATTCTAGAACGTGAATGCAAAGACCGGTAAGGATCTTCTGAAGATAAGTATCCGGCCACAGCTTCAAGGTCTCAAGGTGCTCCGCCACATCAGGAAACATGCGCTGCATGAAGCCTTCCACAACCCAGGCTGTGGTCGAAAAACCTACCGCCTCGGCCGCCCAATGGCCTGGAATATGTTCCTTTGTTACGTATCGGAGGACGGCAGCTGTTTCCTCCTCACTCAAAACAAGCAAACAAAGCCCAGCTAAGTAACTCATCGCCTGTCCATATGCGTTGAATTCATTATGCATAGCTGAAAGAAAAGCAACAAACTTTTTGCGGTGTTCGGGATGAAAAAAAGTGCGGTCTGCATCCTTAATAATCACACGAGTCGTCTCTTCATCGTCATCCTCAATCTCGACGTAATTGACAGGTTGCAGGAAGAATCCAGCCTTCTTCACCCAGTTTTCTAGCCTGCCGCGCAGCAAATCGCGGTTTGCCTCAAGGAATCCATTGTTAAGGTTCAGTAAGGGGCATCGCCCTTTCACTTCCTCTTCCCAAAAAAGAGGCATATCAAAAAGCGGCCCAGTAAAGTGTAAGGCTTCGTGATACGTCACTTTCCTTCCACGACTTGTCTCCTTCACCTTCTCTTCCGTCGTCTTTGTCTGGGCAAAGACACTGAGTGGGGTAGAGACGGGGGCGACCTCAGAAGAAGAAGACACCGCTTGAGCACCAAACCCAAACTTTATCGTGCCCGATGACGGTGTGGCGGCCTTGGTGGCGGTGAAGCTAAAGCCAGATCGAAGCAGCTTGAGCGTTGCATCAGCCTTAACATCATTGACACTCTGAGCCTTGGACTCTGGGGGGGATTGCTTCGCGTAGTAGGCGGCCCAGACTCCTACGTCTTCATCACCAGACTGATGCTTTATATTTCTTGCCCGCCTGTAAATAAGCCTCAGCTCAGCGTTAATTAGCTCAGCGTTTTGTTCCACCTTGCTGACATCATCAAAGTATTCGTTTGGTAACTTCGCATAGGATTGAGCAAACGAAGCCAACGCCGGCGCATAGCCACCAAAGCGTTCGAAACATCCATTCGCATATTTCGGCTTAAGACCTGTCAAAGCGATGAAGTCTTCTACAGGTCGCCGCTGGTCTGCTACGAAGGTCGCCTCGCTCATATCTTCACCACCCCCTTTTCTTTCTCTGTGCTCGCCCTTCTCTCTGTTTCCCCTAGCTCTTCCGCGTGAAAAGGTTCCCAACGTACCCCACAAGAAGGGCATATTACATCAACAGCAGCAGCAACAAACGGACGAGGAGGGTATATAATATATATATATATATATATTATATTATATAAGTGTGCGTATGGACTGGGGGTGCTTGGGGGGTGCTGAACGGAGGGC